CGCAGTAGATGATCCCTGGCACCAGCGACTCGGTCATCCCTCACGCCAGACATTCAACAATTTCCTCCGCACCAAAGTTTTCCTGCCAACATCGGTTTGAACGAACGGCACTATGGCAGCAACATAGTCTTAGAACACAAATTAGGAAGAGTTAGGAAGAGTTACGAGTTGGGAATGACTCCCAGCTCCTACAAACCCCAAGAGCCGAGGTACAGTGATGTGGAACAGTGCCACACTGTCCCCAACCACGAAGGGTCTCGAAACTACCCTTCACAAGGGCCTACACCAAGTGAAATGTTTCTCTACACAAAGTAATGTAACTATTCTCACTATCTTGAAGTGTACCATTTTGCGGACTTCGAGATCACTCGAGTCTTGACACCAAGGCTCTGGTTCTTCATCATAAACTCATCCTTGAGTTCTGCTGCACACACCTGTGACACGCCGAACGTTCGACACACGACAAAACATAGAACCGCGCACGAGACACACGACAAAATAGAAACCGCACGCGAGACACAAATGACTGCATTAACACGCGACTAGCGATAACTCGCTATTGACTCGACACACACACACTCGACATAATCACTCATCATTCACACACTATTATAAGCATGAAATATATATATTTATTTCATGTCCTCATACCCTATACACGCATGAACGCACACGGACAACAAGCCGAGTGCAAACCGTAGGCTTTCACCAACAAACTCCCCCTCGGATTGTTGGCCTTAGGATCTTGCTCTCTCAGTTCAGAGCCATCCCAACCAGCTTGCAATTCTTCCAATGCTGCTGCTCCACCAGCCTTTTGGTCAGCTGGCTGCCCCGTCGTCTTCACATAGCGCAACTCAACTTCACCCGCGGCCACCATGTTCATCGTCCAATGCCACTTCACCCTCATGTGACTGGTGAGGCCGTGCAACACAGGGTTCTTGGCAAGTGTAATTGCACCTTGGCTGTCATAGTAAAGTGGGGTAGGGCCTTGCTTCTCCTCCCCTAATTTAGCACACAAATGCCGCTGCCACACAATCTCCCGTACGGCACGGAAGAGTGCCATGTACTCGGACTCCACCGAGCTCAATGCTTGGTCCACCTGCTTCTTGCTCTCCCATGCAGCTGGGCCTCCAACAACACAGCATGCGAAGCCTCCCACACCCGTCATGTCCTCTGGTTCCGATGCATAGTAAGCATCCGAGAAGGCTGTGAGGAACAAACGCCCGGGTTCAATGCCATCCGCGCCCTTTTGGCGCTTTTGTGCTGTCGCCGAGTTTTGCAGCCCAACGGTAAGTGTTTGGCCAAGATACTTGGCCACCCTCATTCCAGCTACTACCTGCTTCTCATTCAGGCATTGGACAACCCTTGCTCGCAGCCCGGTAGCAAACGCGACATCCGGTCGTGTGTTGACCGCTGCGTTCATGAGGCTGCCCGCCAATGAGTGAAAACGTCCCCTCTCCTCTTCATCAACGCTCTCCTCCTCTGGTCCCTTCACACACTTGAACCCAGAAGGGAATGGAGTAGCCACATGGCCTTCACTCTGCCCAAAGTTGGCAGCCAATGCCTCCAGGTACTTGCGTTGGTGCACCCGCATGCACCGCTTCTCCACGTCGCGCTCGATGTGAAGCCCGAGGTAGAAATTCACGTCACCAAGGGCCTTGCACTTGAACTTATCTTGAAGCCTCAGCATCACCTCCTTCACAAGGTCAGAGGAGGGCGAGAAGATGAGGATGTCGTCCACGTAGACCACCATGAAGCTCCTCTGCTCCCCCTCGCCAAGCATGAACAATGAGTGATCGGCCGTTGAGGGAGTGAAGCCGATCTCCTCCAAAACTTCTTGCAGCTTCAAGTACCACTGCCCTGGGGCTTGCTTGAGCCCATGGAGGGCCTTATTCAGCTTCCACACTCTGTCATTACCATCATCAAATCCCTCTGGCTGTGCCATGAAAATCTCTTCCTCAAGAACGCCGTTGAGGAATGCCGTTGTGATGTCCATCTACTTCACCACCCATCCTTTGATGGCAGCTCCCGCGAGTAGGGTCCTCAGCGTCGTCGGCTTCACCACAGAAGCAAACAGCTCCTTGAAGTTCACCTTCTCCTTCTGCTGGTACTCCTTGGCCACAAGCCTAGACTTGTAGCGCTCGATCTTGCCGTCGGCGTCGGACTTGATCTTGAAGAGCCACTTGGACGTTATCGCCTTACGCCCCTCCGGTAGCTCCACCAATTCAAATGTGTTTTTCTCCTCAATGCTCTTCAGCTCGCTCTCCATTGCCTTCTTCCACTCCTCAGCATCACTACTCTCCAAGGCCTCCTTGAGAGTTGCTGGTTCTCCCGGCATCTCCATCGGAGAGAATAACACGAAGGCAAATTCCTCGTAGTCACTCTCCTCATCATCTCCTACCATCATTGCCGCTCCGGCCAAGGCTGACTTGCCCGGCTTTCCCGGCGCATCATATGCCAGCCAATTAGGGGCTTGGACTCTCCTCTTGCCCCTTCCTTCCTCCTCAGCTGCAGGGACTTGAAGGCCTTGGCGTTGCTGCGGTGTGGGTGACTTGAATCCGTGGAGCGCTCGAAGTGCGAGACGGAAGTGTCGGTGCACGCTTGTTCACTTGCTGCACCTCCTCCTCTTCTTCCTCTTCATCTTTGGCCTCTTCTCCCCCATTCACAAGGGAAGATTGCCTTGTGGTGGTGCTGCCGCTGCTCAGCTCCAAGTGATCTCCGACCCAGTGCCCTGCCGATAAAGCAAGTTCATCTGCTACATCACCAGGAGACATGGGCCGGCCCTCTTGAGCAAGCGTGGCACACCGCGTCATCACATGATGAAAGTGTAAGCTGTACCGTTGGGAAGCACTGACTTCTTCAACAGCTGCCATGCCTTTGGGTGGATCTTTCCCCCCATTAGTACCCCATGTTTTGGTAGGCTTAGCACGCCTACTTATTTTAGCCTTGCGCACCCACCGCCCTTCCCCTTCTCTGGCCCTGACATTGGCTTGTGCATCACGACCCATCGGTGTTTGAATACCGGGTTCCAAGTTTTCCCCCGTGTTGTCCCACCACCTGCGATCCCTGACTTCCCCAATCTCTGCCAGCATGGCTGCAAATTCTTCTACACACGGGCTGTTGCAAGAGGGGAGAAGCAATGTCGACAAAGGCACAAATGCATTAACGGAAAACACGCGAAACCGCATTGACATTAGAGACCCAAAACAATGAATGTGTGCAGCGGTAGAGGGGGGGCTTAGTGACATACAATGCGCGAATAAAACAAACATGTCCATCTATTAACACATAGAATGTCGAGCGTCTCACCTTGCTCTGTCATTTCAGCCCTAGTACCTGTAGCTGCCGCAACCGTGTGCCAGCAGCAGTGATGCGTATGACGATGGGTGTGCCCCGTAAACCGGGTGCGGGTCCCAGACAAACATCTGAGCCACATCCTTGAACACTACCACATTGCTGTCAGCCTCTGTATCCCCCTCCGACGGCACTGGGGGTGTGTCATCAAGTGTCCGAATCGCCTCTGCAAGATGCCTTGTTTCAGTGCCCGTCCAAGCCGTTCGCACAACCACCTGTCGCAACTCTGGATGCTTATAGGACGCCTCCGAAGGATCGATGGTCTTGAAAGCGATGGCGCTAAGACCGGAGCACACCGCCCTTAAAAGCGCCTCCCTGGTGGAAGAAACCGTCAGCCGCCCTTTCCTCCACGTCCTTTCAAGCCATCCGAACAACGCTGGTTTCTTAATGTGCCAAAGGTCCTCTATGGTTTGTGCCGCCTCTATAGTCATGTTGTCGTCCTTGCGAGCATCCACCAACTTTCGAAGAAATGCCTTGATAAGTGTCTTGGCCATATGCCACACGTCTTGCTGATGCTCCAACCCCATGGAAGCCACCACCGTCTTGAAACTAGTTCCCCCATCAATTATCACTCCCTCGACTTTGAACCCAAACGCCGATAGTTCGCACATCGCTTACTCGAAAGCGACCTTCTTCATTGCAGTTGAGGAAATACCATGCCGATGCTTGTTGATTGTTATACAATGAAGTACCTTGCGCGTCTCCCTATCCATCAACAACACTGTACACCATTCACCCTCTCTCGCCTGTGACCACCTTCCATCTGCGGTTATTCATATTTTTTTATCACCCCTAGCCTTGACTTCCTCTCTCGCTTTCGCCATTGATAACTTAGTCTGACGCACAATACTAGCCCAAAGACCATGCGTGCTCTTCATATACGAATAGAATGTTCCTGTCGCAGGGGGTCGGGATACCGAGGTTGTGTGACACTGACTCTAGAGTCTGGTTCCCACAACCACTTATCTCGTAAGCTCCCATCATAATGCGGGTGAGCCATGGCATCTTTGGCCCTTTCTTTGATGCCTGACCCACATCCGCCTCACGATTACAATTCCACCAAACTTCAGTGCGCTTACACCTCAAGCACTTCCATAACAACCCAAATGCCCCCAAAGACCTCTTCTATGACTGTAAAAGCATCGTCCCCCCGCACGCTACACCAGCAGTACACTGAAGAGAGAAGAGCAACATCAACCTTACAAACCATACAGGTCCAAGTAGCACATTGTACCCTTACTAATGTTAGTAAGGCTCGGTGAAGATGGCCAGCCTTGTGGGACATCACACCCGAAACCCAGATGACAAGGATCGTCACTGTTGGGTGATTGGGGTTCATGGATACATTGATGATTGCATGAAAATTTGACTCCAATCCACTGTTCGACAACAACTTCGAAAAGCATGTGGAAAGTTCAAAACGCATGTACGCCAATTGCAGTAACCATGCTCGTCCAACTCAATTTGTGAATGTTATCGTTGTTGGAGCTGATTCTTCCACCACGTTCGTCGCACCGTCCCCGCTTGTCGGCACGTGTCGACCCCTCACGACACCCATGCCGGATATCGCATGTTCTTGATCTTCACCGCCGCTCCCCTCATTGCTTCCATCGATCTCTTCGACTGCCTCCTCCTGCAACCCATCCTCAACATCCTCGCTCGTGATTCCGCCTGCCATATTCTACTGCGTCGAGCCAGAGTAGGGATCCCGCAGCTTGCTTGTGCGGGTTGTAACGAGTGGCAGATGCCGTAGGTACTTTGACCGCGCCCTTTGTTGGAACGTCCTGGGCACTGAACATGTGGGTTAGAACGTAGGGGAGACATTTGGAAATAAGGTAGAACACACTGAGCATGCTATAACTGTAATACAAATACCCACCCAAAAATATATCAACAAGGTAACGCATCTTATGTAACAATACCCACAATTCCAATGCAGCACTCACAAGGATATAGCATCTTACCATATGTTTTCAGCAACTGATAGGTTGTTCCACGTCTTAGCGTCGTTTTGCTCCTCCGGCGTTGTGATGAAGTTGTACACCAAACCACTGATTGGTGTCGAGTGGAGGGAATAAAGCTCCCTCACTGTAGGGAATCCTTGGCCTCTCTTCTTTACTCGCACCGATGACGCGTGTGCATCCACATGCGCCGTATCCCCTCTCCCCTTGTCCACATGCACACAAGGCATTTAGCAAATTTATAAACCAGATTGACAGGGATGAGCATGCGAACAACATGATGAATTTAGGGTGAGCTTGTGATGCAAGTATGCTTGAGGGTTTGAAAGGGATGAGCATGCGGGCATCGAGATGAGAGGGGGTGCGATGTGCGTGTGTTTGAAAATTATGGACAAACATGAGTAGGTAGGTGAATCAGATTGAAACGGATTCGCACCCATATGGGTTGGAAAGTCATTAGGATGGGGGCAAAGAGCATGATTGATTTATTAGTCATACCTGTAGCAGAGGCTGCATCAAGTAGATAATCAACAAGAGCGGGGGCGGCTTCGATGAACAAGAATACCATATCACTATCCCATGGCATGCAACCACCTCCTATGAGGCTTGCCAATCCGCAGCGTAGGATGGCCCATAGTGTGGTCAAGTGACAGCTGAGAGTGAGCTTTCTTTTATGCAGCAACTTGTGCAATGCCTTGGACGTCTCAGTCACCCTGGCTTCACCAGCCTGCACCAAGCAGCACGGCCGGTACCCTCGTCGCCACCGTCCCTCTTTGTGCCGGACATGTGAGCTCCACCTGAAGCGAAGGGTGAGAAAGGGTATTGCGATGTAGAAGGGATGCTCTGCTGTTGGCAAGTGAAAGGCACGACAGAGATGAGATAGTGACAATAGTCGAGGGTAGCGGGAGCGTTTGGTTCCTCAGCGGGGTTTGTAGCAGCTGGATGGGGGAGGAGAGGGGAGGGGAGGGGGGGAGGGGGGGGAAGGTTGTGATGAAGACAGGTAATTTGGAAAGGTTGTAAAGAAGACAGGTAATTCGGGATGGTTGGGGAGTTGAGGGGCGATGGGTGTAGGAGGTATGCGCACGGTAAGCGGGGACGCATAGGTGAACACCAGCATGCAACCCAGGTACACACGGGGTACACACCTAAATGGGGACACCCACTCTAGTAAACACAGGCGGAGTGGTCAGAATCAAGCCTGACAGGTAGCTTGATGGATAGACAGGTGCGGATGGAAAGAGAGAGGGAAGGCGAAATAGGTAGGGACAGAGGGATGGGGGACTAGGGAGCTTCGTTGCGATGGGAAAATGGGGAGTGGCAGGGCAAAGGGGAGATGAGGAAGGAGCAGAGGGAAGAGGATAAAGTGAGTGACAGGGAAAGGGGGAATTGGGGAGGGACAGAGAGATGGGGAAATGGAGAGTTTCCAACTTAAGTGGAAACCGGGAAATGGGGGAGGACGTACCACAGGAGGAATAGGGAGGGACAGGGTGAACAGGAAGTGGGGATGGACAGGGGGAAATAGAATTGGGGATGGACAGGGGGAAAGGGAGGTGGGGATGGACAGGGGGGAAGGGAAGTGGGGATGGACAGGGGGAAAGGGAAGTGGGGATGGACAGGGGAAAAGGGAAGTGGGGATAGACAGGGGGAAAGGGAAGTGGGGATGGACAGGGGGAAAAGGAAGTGGGGATGGACAAGGGAAAAGGGAAGTGGGGATGGACAGGGGGAAAGGGAAGTGGGGATGGACAGGGGGAAAGGGAAGTGGGGATGGACAGGCTGAAAGGGAAGTTGGGATGGACATGGGGAAAGGGAAGTTGGGATGGACAGGGGGGAAGGGAAGTAGGGATGGACAGGGGGAAAGGGAATTGGGGATGGACAGGGGGAAAGGGAAGTGGGGATGGACAGGGGGAAAGGGAAGTGGGGATGGATAGGGGGAAAGGGAAGTGGGGATGGACAGGGGGAAAGGGAAGTTGGGATGGACAGGGGGAAAGGGAAGTGGGGATGGACAGGGGGAAAGGGAAGTGGGGATGGACAGGGGGAAAGGGAAGTGGGGATGGACAGGGGGAAAGGGAAGTGGGGATGGACAGGGGGAAAGGGAAGTGGGGATGGATAGGGGGAAAGGGAAGTGGGGATGGACAGGGGGAAAGGGAAGTTGGGATGGACAGGGGGAAAGGGAAGTGGGGATGGACAGGGGGAAAGGGAAGTGGGGATGGACAGGGGGAAAGGGAAGTGGGGATGGACAGGGGGAAAGGGAAGTGGGGATGGACAGGGGGAAAGGGAATTGGGGATGGACAGGGGGAAAGGGAAGTGGGGATGGACGGTGGGAAAGGGAAGTTGGGATGGACAGGGGGAAAGGGAAGTTGGGATGGACATATGGAAGAGGAAACGAGGATTGACAAGGAAAAGGGGAAACGGGGAGGGATAAAGGGATGGGGAATTGGGGGGGACGAAGGGATGGGGAATTGGGGGGGACAGAGGGATGGGGAAATGGGGAGGGTGTTGTGAAGGGGAAAGAGGGTGTGACAAGGAAAAGGGGAAATGGGGACTGACATAGGGAAGGGGAATTATGGAGGGACAGAGGGAAGGGGAAATGGGGAGTCGCAGGGGGGAGAGTCGATCGGGAGTGACAGGGAAAAGTGGAAATGAGGTGGGACAGAGGGAAGGGGAAATGGGAGACACAGGGCAGGTGCAGTGGGAGGGACAGTGCGAGGGGGAAATATATAGTGATAAGGCAGTGGGGATATGGGTAGGGACAGAGGGAAGGTGAACTGGGGAGAGACACCCGGGATGGGGAAATGCGGAGGGACAGAGGGAAGAGAAAATGGGAGACAGAGGGCGGTGCAGTGGGAGGGATAGAGGGAAGGGGAAATGTGGAGAGACAGGATGGAGGGGGAATGGGAGGGGCAGAGGGATCGGAAACTTGGGACATACAGTAGGAAGGAAAAATATGTAGTGTCAATGAAGTGGGGAAATGGGAAGGTACAGAGGGAAGGGGAAATGGGGACGGACAAACCGAAGAAGAATTAGGGAGAAACACAGCGAAGGCGAAATGAGGAGGGGCAGAGGGAAATGGGAGATTAAGGAAAGGTGCAGTGAGAGGGACACAGCAAAGGGGAAATGGGGAGAGGCAGAGGGGTGGGAGACTAGGAGAGACAGAGGTATGAGGATTGCTTTTTGGGCCTCAAGGGGGCTATTCCCATGATGGTGGAGTGTGACTGTGTGCAGGTGTGTGAGAGTAACGGGCATGCCTGTTCGATTTATCTATTAGACGCTGTGCTGTGCCCTTCTGGCCAATCTGACCGGCTGCAGCGTTGTGCCTTGCCATCCGTTTGCATGTGTCCAGGTGGAGCGCCAACCCTTGCTTTCCGTTCGAACATGAGGATGGGCAGCGCCATGCATTGCTTTCATTCGAACGCCGTGAAGGCGCATTGCTGTGAGAGGCAGGTGGGCTGTTTGGTGCTTCTAGAAGACGTGCACGCAGGGCTAGGCTGGTGGTCTATAGACCGCGATGCCTCCCATGATGTAAGGGGACAGAGCAGGAATGGCCGCGGAGGGAGCAAGCAAGGGTGTGAAGGAGTCATCTGCAGGGCGGGATGGCTTTTGCCGATGTCGTGATATGTGCGTGAGGGCTTTGGACTACGATGCATGGGACAATTACAGGGTGATAGTAGGGGTGATGCAACGAATGGGTTCCGGGACGGGCAAAGGCTGGTGATGCGCGCTTGCACTGGTGGCTTGGGTGAGACACAATTGGTCAGAGGTGGAATGGCTGGGAAAATGGGCATGCGTGCGTGTTTGAGGCGGCAATCTTCCATGAGCCACGATGCGGATCAACACCACTTTCATGCATGGAAAGGTCGTGTAAAGGACAGGGGATGTGGGAATGTTGTTGGAAGGACGAGTGATTTGAGAAGGTTGTGAAGAGGGGGGAGGGGTGTATGCTGTATGAGAAGGGTAAGGGAGGGCGCACAGGTGAAAACCAGAAACACCTGAGCAGCGTTGTCAGAATCAGGCCTGTCAAAGTAGCTTGATGGCTAAGTCAGCAGGGGCGCCGCAGGTGTGAAAGGATCGCTGGGAGGGACAGAGGGAAGGCGAATTGGGGAGGGACAGAGGGAAGGCAAAATGGGTAAGGGCCGGAGGGAAGGCAAAATGGGGAGGGACTGAGGGAAGGGAAAATGGGGAGGGATGGAAGGAAGGGAAACACCATTATGGGATGGAGGGAGGGCAAAATGGGGAGCAACGGAGGGATGGGGAAATGAAGAGTGACCGCGAAATGGGGAAATGGGGAGGGACAGAGGGAAGTGAATTGGGGAGGGATAGATGGAGGGGGAAAAGGGGAGTGAGAAAAAAGGAAATGGAAAGGGAGGGATTGAGGGAAGGGGAAATAGGTGTTGACTCTGAAATGGGGAAATAAGGAGTGACTGGAGAACGGGGAAATTGGGAGGGACTGGGCGAAAGGGGAAATGAGGAGTGACTGGGAAAAGAGGAAATGGGGAAGGACAGAGGGATGGATAAATGGGGAGTGGCAGAGGGATGCCAAGACGGGGAGGGAAGGGGATATGATGAGTCACTGGGAATTGTGGAAATGGGGAGCGACGGAGGTAAGGGGAAATGGGGAGTGGATGGGATATGGGGATATGGGGAGGGATTGGGGGAAGGGGAAATAAGGAGTGACAGTGTACCTGGGAAATAGGGAAGGGTAGCAGAAGGGGAAGGGGAAATTGGCAGTGAAAGGTAAAACGGAAAGTGGGGCAAGGCAGCACTGTGCCTTGCAATCTGTATGGAAGAGAGTAGGCGCGGTGCAATGCCTTGCAATCCGTATGGAAGAGAGCAGGCGCGGTGCAATGCCTTGCAATCCGCTCGAACACTAGCAGGCGCGGCGCAGGGCCTTGTAATCCGTCTGGAAAAAAGGAGGCGGGCGCACTGCAGTGCAGGAAAACGCTGAAAACGAACAGGCGCGGCGCTGTGCCTGAAAATCCACCCCTAAACGAGGCGGCGCGATGCAGTGCCATGCAAACCATCTGAGAACGAGCAGGCGCGGCGCGGTGCCTTGTAATCCGTATGGAAATGTGTAGGCAAGGCGCGGTGCCTTGCAATCTGTTTTAAAACGAGCAGGCGTGGAGCTGTGCGTAGCAATCCGTATAAGTGCGAGCTGGCGCTTTCTCCGAAAACGCAGGCGCCCATCTTGAATTGCCTTGCACTCCGTGAG